CAGTCATGGCTAGACTCTGCATACGTGACCTATCTGCTGCGCGTCTCAAACATAAAGTATTTATTTATTAAAGGCAGAATTGGATAAATTAGTACCGCAACTGCCACGTGAATAAAATGAACATGGCGCAGTACAGCTAGGGCATATTAAATGCGGATCAGCAGCAGAATAAAAAACGTAATCTGCAACAGTACAGAATTTTCATCAACGTAATCCACAGAACAAACATGGCGTCCCGTGAATAAACAGTAGAAACACGACTAAATATCAATATATAATTGTTGAAGGATACTAGCTAAACCTCTATAGATGTCTATACGAGGTAACTAACTAAATATAATCCAAGGATATAGTGTGTCGGGAGACACAGGCGCTCTCACGTCCAGCTCACTGGGCGAAGAAGGAGAGAGTGAGGCACATGGGTAGAGGTGGCGCCCTCGTTCCCGCGCTTGTGGAAGGGAGGTAACTCGTGATGTACTAATTAGTGATTTTACATTGAAGGGAGCTTCAATTAGGGAGATACAAGTGTTCCACTATGTTCGCAAGAAGAAGAAGACAAGCAAAAAGAGCATGAGTCAGGATAAGGAAAAATTGTATGTTTGTGTATGTGTATGTGTGTATGAGTGTGAGTGTGTGCATGTGCTAGTACTAGTTCACACTTATGTCAGTTATACATTGCCAGCACATTATCCACCATTCAGTAGTGAGTGAGTTTAGTTATATGCCACTTTTAGCAATATTCCAGCAATATCATGGTGAGGGACACCAGAAATTGCATTCACACATTGTACCTATGTGGGGACTCAAACCTGGGTCTTCGGCGAGACGAGCGAACGCTTCAACCACTGGGCTACCTGCAGTGTATTAATAATGCCTGTCTGACCGCCCGAGACGGGCTAGATTTCTGTCGGACGGTCTAATTTTACAGCTAGCCAGCCCGATGGACGGGTGAAAAAAATATTCAGATAACGTGTCCAATGGCACTGTATATTTAGTATAAAAGAAGGACTGGTTAAATCTCTTCTGGGCTGGTGAGTTTTTGTAGTTACCAGCCCAAATGTCTGGCTGGGTTTTTGGCTTATTTCATACACTGCTACCTGACAAGTCTGACAGTCCTTGTTTTTGTCCCTCCACCTGATCACCAGGCTGGGTAGTAACAAGCACTATCTTCAAGCACCTCTTGGTAAGATGAAGCAGGTCATTGGGTCACCAACCTTCTACACTCTGTGAAACCATGTACAAGGAATTTGGGATGAGCACTTTAGGCTTAGCAGAGTGTACACGATCTGTCAAGGAGACTACCCAGGCGGAAAAAAATTCTGGCTTCCACTTTCAATTCATCTCAGCCATACATAACACATTAAATTACTTGGACAAATCATTGCAATTTAATTACTTGAAAACTCGTAACAGTTGTTACCTGATATACCAATTTCTTTTAACCAACTTATCGCCAATAATTACTATTTCATGAAGTCATAAATCACACCAAAAGTCAAACCAAGTCTCCAGAGAGAAACTCTGATGATGCAGCATCATGTTTACTTATCCAGAGCATCCTGAGCCCAATAGAAATAATATGATTTAGTTCAAGTGTTTCACCATACAATCATAACATAGACGACTAACTCCATTGCCTGCAACAAAGACACAGCTCGAATAACATAAAACATATCCTGAATTGGTTGATGAAGAAAGATGATACAACATTATAGCAAGTACCAATATATCACGAAGGCTCCACCAAATAAAACGCGGAAACAATCAGCGTCAGCACGATGTCCCTCCTGCAAGTCCTGCCTCAGTCCTGGAGTCACCTTTCATCAGCACTCACTGACACACTGCCCGAGGGAACTGTCATCACATCACAAGAACATCCAGTATTGAATTCCTCCAGAAAATTGAGTGAGTGACAGAGAGTCCCATATGGACAATTTCTGTTGTCAGAAAGCAATACCGCCCCCTTCAACACAACATATTGTTTCTCTCTTGTGGAAGGAAGAAGAAAGGCTTTCAGTTTTTCCTATTCGTGACATGTTTTTTAATGGAGTTTGAATGTTACATTCTGGGTTATAATTCCTGTCGGAAATTATTCAGAAAGTTACAAGAAGCATAAGCCTTCTCAATTATTGAAACTTAAATAAGAGAAAAAGAAAACTTTATTACCTGAAGAGCCAAAATTAAGTGAAGAGACACACTGAAAGGAGTTTTGAAGTTTGGAATTAAAAGGTGTTATGTTACCATCAGCCCTGTTCAAAACACATTACATTTGGGAATGAATGAATGAATGAATGAGACTAGCTTTCAGCTGGGGAGGGATGGAGAGAGGCAGGGTGTGTTTGTCTTTTAGTTTTAAGCAGGGGAGGGATGGATGGATGGATGGAGTGAGTGTCAGAATGTGTGTTTTAGTTATAAGCAGTGGATGGATGGAGTGTCAGAATGTGTGTTTTAGTTTTACGCAGCAGGTGGATGGATTGATGGAGTGTCAGAATGTGTGTTTTAGTTTTAAGCAGGGGAGGGATGGATGGAGTGAGTGTCAGAATGTGTGTTTTAGTTTTAAGCAGGGGAGGGATGGATGGAGTGAGTGAGTGTCAGAATGTGTGTTTTAGTTTTAAGCAGGTGAGGGATGGACGGATGGATGGAGTGAGTGTCAGAATGTGTGTTTTAGTTTTAAGCAGCAGGTGGATGGACGGATGGATGGAGTGAGTGTCAGAATGTGTGTTTTAGTTTTAAGCAGCAGGTGGATGGATGGATGGAGTGAGTGTCAGAATGTGTGTTTTAGTTTTAAGCAGCAGGTGGATGGATGGATGAAGTGAGTCAGAATGTGTGTTTTAGTTTTAAGCAGCAGGTGGATGGATGGATGGAGTGAGTGTCAGAATGTGTGTTTTAGTTTTAAGCAGTGGGTGGATGGATGGATGGAGAGTCAGAATGTGTGTTTTAGTTTTAAGCAGTGGGTGGACGGATGGATGAAGTGAGTGTCAGAATGTGTTTTAGTTTTAAGCAGTGGGTGGATGGATGGATGGATGGAGTGAGTGTCAGAATGTGTGTTTTAGTTTTAAGCAGTGGGTGGATGGATGGATGGATGGAGTGAGTGTCAGAATGTGTGTTTTAGTTTTAAGCAGTGGGTGGATGGATGGATGGAGAGTCAGAATGTGTGTTTTAGTTTTAAGCAGGGGAGGGATGGATGGACGGATGGAATGAGTGTCAGAATGTGTGTTTTAGTTTTAAGCAGTGGGTGGATGAATGGATAGATGGATGGAGTGTCAGAATGTGTTTTAGTTTTAAGCTGGGGAGGGATGGATGGATGGATGGAGTGAGTGTCAGAATGTGTGTTTTAGTTTTAAGCAGCAGGTGGATGGATGGAGTGAGTGAGTGTCAGAATGTGTGTGTTAGTTTAAGCAGGTGAGGGATGGATGGACAGATGGAGTGAGAGTGTCAGGGGAAAGAGAGAGACAGTGTGTGTGGTGGAGGTAGAACTAAATATGTCCTTTTATCATCATAAGAAATCTCTGCAAAACATAAACTCCCTTGTATAATTATTGAACAACTATCAACAAACTTCTTAACTATAGTAAAATATGTGGTGTCATCACTATTTAGATTGTGATTCTCAAACTCATGCTCAAGATGTTAAACTTTTAGCAGAGATTTATTTAGAGTGAGTGAGTGAGTGAGTTTGGTTTTACACCGCTTTTAGCAATATTCCAGCAATATCACGGCGGGGGGACACCAGAAATGAGCTTCACACATTGTACCCATGTGGGGAATCGAACCCGGGTCTTCGGCGTGACGAGCGAACGATTTATCCATCAGGCTACCCCACCGCCCCAGATTTCTTTAGAAAGATTATTGAAATGGTTTTGTTGTTTCATTTCACCAAATAACCTAAAGACATATATTGGAACATACCCTTGTTATTTTATGCTTCCCCAAGCATCTCAAGTGCCTCAATGCTACCAGAAAATGTGTATCCCCCTGGCTCCAACCACACCTCACCCCCCTATTCTCCCACATCGTAGGGGGAATAGTTCTCCCATCCATCACCCATTCAGTAACAGGTACTTCTCTGTTGCTAACTGGCCAAGATCACACACAACAACCACTGTGTGGAGCTTCTCTACACATAATCAGCACTGCGAGGAGCACGCATTGCTCCAGAAAACACAAGCTTGTGGCGCCAGGTTTCGGAGCTTGCAGCTATCACATGATGCATTATAAGAATGGTTATGCAAATTTAATGACCAGCCATGCAGCCGGGGAGAAAGTTGGAACAGTTGGATGACACTTGTTCACACTGTGAGGATGATACTGTGATACTGTGATGCGAGGCGTATGTCTACAGAACAGAGGTAAGGTGAACGCTATGGTAGGACATACTACTATATACACCTTATATCTCTCTTATATTAACAATGAGGTACAGTTCTGTATTTTGCAAACAAAGATAATGTTTTTCACAAAACAAAAATATTTGTGATATTGTGAGGATAGCACTATGGTATATAGTAGAATGTCTACAGAACAGAGGTAAGGTGAACGCTATGGTAGGACATAAGACCTTTACACTATATCTATACCATGAAGTGCAATTTTGTATTTTGCAAAACGAAAATATATTTTCACAAAACCAAGATATTTGTGATATTGGCACTATGGTACTGCAAGGAGTAGAATGTCTACAGAAAAGAGGTAAGGTGAACGCTATGGTAGGACATAAGACCTTTACACTTATAATCTCTATACCATGAAGTGCAGTTTTGCATTTTGCAAACAGAAAATATATTTTAACGAAATCAAGATATTTGTGATATTGTGAGTACAACACTATGATACTGCAAGGAGTAGAATATCTACAGAACATAGGTAAGGTTAACGCTATGGTGGGACATACTGCTATATAAACCTTATATCTCTATACCATGAAGTGCAGTTTTGTATTTTGCAAAAAGAAAATATATTTTCACAAAACCAAGATATTTGTGATATTGGCACTATGGTACTGCAAGGAGTAGAATGTCTACAGAAAAGAGGTAAGGTGAACGCTATGGTAGGACATAAGACCTTTACACTTATAATCTCTATACCATGAAGTGCAGTTTTGCATTTTGCAAACAGAAAATATATTTTAACGAAATCAAGATATTTGTGATATTGTGAGTACAACACTATGATACTGCAAGGAGTAGAATATCTACAGAACATAGGTAAGATGAAAACTACCAAGGTACATTATGACCTAGCACAGTTAGACCCTGTATCCCCACGTGATGTCACACAGGTCAAGATTTGTTATAAGCAAAATTTAACATCATTTTTTTATCTATATCTAGACATTTGATCATGATCACAAGTCTCATCTTGTTCACATCTCATTCAGATCACTTTGTAATATACTATTTTGATTTTGTTGACTAACCTGCCAGGGAAAGATAACAATATGGATGAGGGAGTGAGTGAGTGAGTGAGTTTGATTTTATGCCGCTTTTAGCAATATTCCAGCAATATCACGGCGGGAGACACCAGAAATGAGCTTCACACATTTTGCCCATGTGGAGAATCGAACCCGGGTCTTCAGCGTGACAAGCGAATGCTTTAACCACCAGGCTACCCCACAGCCCCATATGGATGAGTGAGTGAGTGAGTTTGGTTTTACGTCGCTTTTAGCAATTCCAGCAATATCACGGCGGGGGACACCAGAAATGGTCTTCACACGTCACCCATGTGTGGAATCGACAATATGGATGAACAAGTTAATTGCAATGAGAGTGATGGTACAACAGCACGTGACAACCTACGCCCAAACCTTGCTCTCACGATAATAAACAAGTTGTTCATCCATATTGTTATCCTTCCTTAATGCTCAAACTTCTAAATGCCTCTTAAATTAGACTAACCTGCTATTTAATTTGTACAAGGTTTAAATTGGTTCATCTACTTTTCCTAATTAATTTCAATTTCTTTTGTATTCTCATTTTGTTCCCATGATCTTACTTGCACAGCTAAATGTTCATATCTATACTGGACAAAAATAGTTAGGGATGTACGTAAATTTTGAAATTATGAATAATGATCCATTTATTCATTGACACACCGATAAAATATCAATCATAAAAATACCAATATCCCTAACTTATTTTGTCCAGTATATTTAGATATTAATTTATAGGTTACATCTTTGAGTATCCACTAAGTTTTGTTCATCCATTTACATTTCCCCGTTAAAACATTCACTTGTAATTCATTGTAATGAATCCATTCATTCTTATTCATAACGTCATCCTCATATTCTTCCCCCACATTCTACAATCATCTATTTCACTTTCAAACACTGTAACCTGCACTTACGGCAGTTTTTAGTTGAATTGTGTAAAACATTTCTGAACAATAGTAATATTCATTCTGTTACACTCTCACTTTCAGAAGTTCATTTTCTTTGCTGTCAATGTGACTTTATTTAGTCATATACTTCATCCAGTTTCATTTCTTCTTAAATGATTCCTTCATTGTTTAGTCATTACTACACTTCTTTGTCATGAGAACAGGGAAGTTCTCACATTTCAATCTGTACCACATCTTGTGTCCACTCATAGCACTAGCATAGACTGAGGGAACAACTGGGTATCATCTCATGCCTTGTGCACTTACAGCTTTAACATAAACTGACAGAACCACGGATCACTTCAAACACTGGGACCTCTGAGGTAAGCCTCGCCATGACTTATGTCCATATCGAATGACATCTATCCCTGGGACAGTGGGGCAGTGGGGTAGCCTAGTGATTAAAGCGTTCGCTTGTCATACCAAAGACTTGGGTTTGATTCCATACATGAGTACAATGTGTGAAGCCCATTTCTGGTGTCCCCGCCATGATATTGCTGGAAAGCAGTGTAAAACTAAACTCACTCGCTCTTTTCCTAGGTAAGTCTCACTATATCTTGTGCCCTTAAAACTTGATACCCTTTAAGGTAAACTCCACTGTAACTGATGTCCTTAACAAATGCTATATAACCCAGCAACTTGCTTCTTCCATGATAAGTCTCACTAGGTCATGGGTCCTTAAAAATTGGTATCCTTTATGGTAAACGTCACTGTGACATATGTCCCTAACGAATGGTATTTAACCGAGGGTTGCTTTCATCCAAAAAAAGTCTCACTATGTGTTTTGTCTTTAAAAATTGGCATCCTCTAGCCTCACTGTGACTCATGTTCTTAGTGAATGGTATCTAATTCACGGACCTGCTTTCTCCCTAGGTAAGTTTCACTATGATTTGTGTCCTTAACTCATTTGATAAGATCCTAAATCTATTTTGTACTGAATGTGTGGAATAGTATATAGTCTCTACCATTTAACATCTAGACAGAGTGAAACAAAACACATTTCACTGAACTACATAAAACACGACGATGACAGAATACATGTCCTCTAAATATTTTCACAGGAAGGATAAATCACAATGTCCGTTCATTATATAAACATCAATCATAAGAGAATCGATATCCAACTAAACAGAAAAATTCCACCAGAGTAATAGACATCCCAACACACCAGCCTCTCCTTTAACAGACGGACATCGACACTTTACCACAACGAGCTACAATTATGATTTCCGTGACGATATCCTGTAAATCTTCCAACTCATTAAGGGAGGACTGAATGAGTGAGTACATGCAGCTTAAAGCTGCAGCAGAAATTTTGCAACTAGAAAAAACCTGAATATTTATCTATTGAAAAGAATATGCAATAAAACATTAAGGGAGGTATAGGTGGTCGAGTTGTCCTAGGCATCACATGTCACTGTGCAGAGTTGCATCCCTTGGGCATTTTTAGATTGGGTGTTCAAATCTCAGTTTAGACCTGAATATGATTCTTGGTTACATAATTTCTGCAAAATACCGAAATATCACTTTTCACAAAAGATTTGGTTTCTCAGCACTATACCCAGATTCAGGTTTTAAAAAAAAAAGTTGGTTTCCCAGCACCACACCAACAGTTTCCATAAAAAGTTTGTTTCTCAGCACCACACCTAGATAACAGTTTCCATAAAAAGTTGGTTTCTCAGCACCACACCTAGATAACAGTTTTCATAAAAAGTTGGTTTCTCAGCACCACACCTAGATAACAGTTTCCATAAAAAGTTGGTTTCTCAGCACCACACCTAGATAACAGTTTCCATAAAAAGTTGGTTTCTCAGCACCACACCTAGATAACAGTTTCCATAAAAAGTTGGTTTCTCAGCACCACACCTAGATAACAGTTTCCATAAAAAGTTGGTTTCTCAGCACCACACCTAGATAACAGTTTCCATAAAAAGTTGGTTTCTCAGCACCACACCTAGATAACAGTTTCCATAAAAGTTGGTTTCTCTCAGCACCAGTTGGTTTCTCAGCTAGATAGATAACAGTTTCCATAAAAAGTTGGTTTCTCAGCACCACACCTAGATAACAGTTTCCATAAAAAGTTGGTTTCTCAGCACCACACCTAGATAACAGTTTCCATAAAAAGTTGGTTTCTCAGCACCACACCTAGATAACAGTTTCCATAAAAAGTTGGTTTCTCAGCACCACACCTAGATAACAGTTTTCAAAAAAAGTTGGTTTCTCAGCACCACACCTAGATAACAGTTTTCATAAAAAGTTGGTTTCTCAGCACCACACCTAGATAACAGTTTCCATAAAAAGTTGGTTTCTCAGCACCACACCTAGATAACAGTTTCCATAAAAAGTTGGTTTCTCAGCACCACACCTAGATAACAGTTTCCATCAGCATCACACCTAGAAAAGTTTCCATAAAAAGTTGGTTTCTCAGCACCACTAGACACCTAGATAACAGTTTTCATAAAAAGTTTGTTTCTCAGCACCACACCTAGATAAAAGTTTTCATAAAAAGTTTGTTTCCCAGCACCACACCTAGATAACAGTTTCCATAAAAAGTTGGTTTCCAAGTACAGCACCATATCATAAAAGTTGGTTTCCCAACACACAGTTTTCACAAAAGAAGTAAACATCAAGGAACTGCACCACTTGAGATGCTCATGCTGTTGATCACTGGACTGTCTGGTCCAGACTTGATTATATATACGAGACCAGCACCATATAGCTGGAATACTGCTGAGTGCAGCGTTTAACAACAAACAAACCGACCAACTTGAGACTTTCCTCCCATCTCAAACTGACATGATTTTACTGAAACATTGTTTAAAACAGTGCTCAACCCTGCCTATTCAATCCTTAAAACACATCTGGGCGATGGGGTAGCCTAGTGGTCAAAGCGTTGGCTCGTCTCGCCGAAGACCCGGGTTCGAATCCCCACATGGTACAATCTGTGAAGCCCATTTCTGGTGTCCCCCCCCATGATGTTGCTGGAATATTGCTAAAAGCGGCGTAAAACCAAACTCAGTCAGTCAGTTAAAACACACCATACATGCACTAAATGTTAAGGTAAAATGCCTTTTCTGCATCTTTTTATGTAAACAGATCCTTTTGACAGCTGATACTCACTACGTTCAACCTGAATCATGTGATCTATAATCACCCAAACTCTGAGCCTCCGACAAACCTTCCGAGGAGGAGATGCTCTTGTCACACGGAACAACACAAGTCCATTAACTGGGCAATAACCCCTTTGAATCTGTACTTCTGAAACTTGTACAAACGACCTTCCTGTCTCCACCTGTCTAGCTTTGTTTTCACGATAAAACATTTAATGAACATTTTTGCCTGTTTCAAGGTCACTGCTGAACACACTGACAGTTTCTTTTACTAAGAATCATTTGTCAACATGAACAAATACAGTGCATGCGTACCCAAAACAGGATTTCAGGATCACACAAGCCATCTTGAAAGTCTGCAAGTGTCGTCTGCACTTTCAGGCATTGTGTTCATTGTGTGAACATTCCGTTCAGTCTAGTCAGATCTGCTCACATAATAACTCTTAAATATGCAATAGATTATGTTAAGGGCATAGTTTTGGATTGTGAATTCAGCAGTTTCTGGCACAGTGTCAAAATTTGCTACAGTTTCATGTAAGTCG